AGCACTTGCAGCACGCTCGCATGTTGGTGCGTGCCTATGACCGTGCTCGTCGTGCTGGGTTCACTGCTCCTCCTCAGCCCACTGACCCTCCTCCTTCTCCCCCGAATGAGGAGACTGCTGAAGTCGAGCCTGCTCCATCTGAGGCAGACCTTCAGCAGCAGTCGGATGCTTCTGAGCGTCCACAGCGCACTCGTCGTCGTCCTGCTCGATACGATGATTGACTCTGACTTATCTTCCCACGTCCTTGACTTCTCAGTACTCCATACACTTCAGTTTTGTTACTTCAACTCGTCGACGTTGCGGCTCTTCCTCGACGACATTCCGGATTTCTCATCGTGGATGTCATCGGCAGCTTCATGGACTTCGTCACGATCAGCTCTGCCTACTTCAGACGTCGCCACTCTCTTACCACCTTACCCTGTACATTACCCTGCTTGTGTCGCATGATGGTCTCCCTTTTGCCGGGTTCCTCTGAGTTGGGCTCTCCCTTGGTATACGCATAGGCATCGGGACCGTAGCGTTGCCTTGGCTTCCCATCTTACGGATCTAGCTCCGACTTCCCTCACTTTAGGATTCATTTGCATGATTCCCCTACCCATCACCTCTACCCTCTGTCGGCCCTCACGCCCTAGTTAGGCAGCCCCGCATGCTTTATCTAGATGCGCCCATTACACCAGGCTCCCTTGTTCCCTTGCATGGTCGACCCTCCATAGCGGTCACCCCTTAGTCGAGCATTACCCGCCCTGATGGTCTATCTGTTAGGGTCATTGGTTCTGTTCGCTCCCTGTTCCCTATCCTCATTCAGACTGATTACATGTGTTTTCCCTGTCACTATGTGTCGATGCCCTTAGGAGTTTTCGACCCCTAGGCTGCATTCGCCACCCTCAGAGACCATCCCACCCTGTGGTTTGCGACACACTTCTCATGTGACATATGGTTGTCTTGTGATTGCTTTGTTGCTCTCAGACCGAGGCTACTGCCTCCAACATTCTAGGATCTAGCTGTCACTACTTTCTGCTTTCCTATGACATGTATCCTAGTTAGTTGCTTTTGCTTTCCTATGACATGTATGCTAGTTAGTTGTTTTTGCTTTCACTTAGGTTGTTAGCTGTGATATTGTTGTTTTGTGACATTTTCGATCCTAGGTTGCATTGCATGGACTCAGCATGGAGCTTGCTCCGCATCCTAGACTACTCAGGTTTTCTTTTTCTTTGGTAGAGTTCCGCTTCTTAGCGGAAGCGTGTTTGCATCTAGGCGATCCATCACAGGCCGAGGATCGTGTAGCGGACCTCTGGTTGGCCTGTGAGACCAGCCCCTTGGCCTGTTCTCACAGGCCTGTGTTCTATTCGGGGGCAGTCCAGTCCAGTCCAGGCCGGTACCTCTGTCGGTACCAGCCAGTCCAATCCAGTCCAGTCAGTCCGCTGGGGTATATCCCAGTAGTTGTCTGTTTCGTCATTATTCTTCACTTGCACATTTTGGAGTACGTGCGTTGCAGTCTTGCGTGAGGAGCTGCGTTGTGCCATCTCGCTCCCCGCTTCTTCGTCCATCTCCATCTCTACCACTAGCGAAGCACCACACCTGGTGGGTCCGCTACAGAGTGGCCCAATCGGTATAGGTGCTTGGAGTGGCTCGGTCGGTAAGAACTTGGAGTGGCTAGCTGGGGAGGTGCTTGGAGTGGTTCGGTCGGTACGTGCTTGGAGTGGCTCCGTCGGTAGGTGTTTGGAATGGCTCGGTCGGTACATGTGCTTGGATTTGCTTGGTCGGTATAGGTTCTTGGAGTGGCTCGGTCGGTACAGGTGCTTAGAGTGGCTCGGTGGGTAGGTGCTTGGAGTGGCACGGTGGGTACGTGCTTGGAGTGGCTCATTGGGTAGGTGGGTAGGTGCTTGGAGTTACTCCATGGGTATATGCTTGGAGTGGCTCGGTGGGTAGGTGCTTGGAGTGGCTTGGTGGGTAGGAACTTGGAGTGGCCCTGTTGGTATAGGTGCTTGGAGTGGCTCTATCGGTATAGGTGCTTGGAGTAGCCCAGTCGGTATAGGTGCTTAGAGTGGCTTGGTCGGTAGAGACTTGGAATGGCTCGCTGGGG